CTACTGAGGCGTTTAACACGTAATAATGAGGCAATACTTAAAAGGTTGCTTAAAATTAATAAAACTAAGTTTACGGATTGAATGAGCATATTTTTACGGATTTTTTTACTTATTTTTAATTTCCGATGTTTTGGGTGCTTTTTAGCACTTATGGTGACGGGGGACTGAGGTGATTAGCGTCCCGATGTTGAAGTTAACCCTTCTTCTGCTTTTTAATTATTAATTCAGGTCTGATCTATGCGAAATGAGCTCACTGTGACTTGATGTCTTATTGTGGTATACTTGGGTTTAGTTTTAATGTTATTAATTACAGGATTTTATATTTAAATTAATAATTAATTATTAATTGCACTCAGACACCTTTTCTATTGAAATAGGATCTTTTTAATGGCAATAGCCTTACGTATGATACTTGGTAGAATTCGATCTTTTTTCCATATGTAGCGTTCACTTAAATACAAGAAACTACTATTTTTACCGATATTGATACAGATGTACAGCTGTGATTATTATAATATAATTAAACGTCTATTAAGCTATTACATGACATACTGATGAACGGGGTTTGTGAGCTCAGCTCACTAACGTTCCGGAAAATAATTTATAGCTTTGTAATGCGACGAATGCTCCCTCAGATGTTACATGACGGGTGATTTAAGGGATAGAATATTCAATAGATAAGCTGCAAGGCAAGTCAGCGCATTTTCTGTTGACGTGGGTCAATTTATGAGGCTGTCTAACTCCTTTGTACTATTTACAAAGTATAATGCTTTGAAAGCGAAAATAAATTAACTTTTTTCTTATAGAATAAGGTTGAGTACAGAGCACACAGTCGAAATGATGGTAAGTGTATGCTTTGGCCCATAGACATCTGTATTTATGCCGTGTGGTTTTTGCCACAGTTGGCACATTTGGGTTCCTCTTCTCTACCCCGAGGGCAAAGGCTCGCTATGTGCTCCCCGGCGCAGCGCACACACTTCACTGGCCTGAAGCAGTTGGCGGAGGCGTGCCCGAAAGCCTGGCATCGGTGGCATTGAGCTGGTCCTGCTTTCCTCTGCCAGGCCTCGATGACGACCCCTCTCATGTAGAGGAGTTCGTCGACTTTGTATAAGCCAAACTGGGCAAAGTAGAGGCAGCCAGATCTGCCTCTACGTGGTGGAATTGCCTTCACATATTTAATGGGGAAGCCCTTTGCCCTAATAGCCTCCTCCATGGTTTTAGTATCCGTGCCCATTGGTAGACCCCGGATGCCCACTTTTGTGGGCTTGTCCTCCTCCGGGGTATAGTAATACCACGACAATATTGGTGTCTCTTTCGAGAGTTCAACCATGTACCGCTGGGCGGTTCTGAACTCTTCGGCGCTTTGAGGTGTGAAACGTACACCTTTCCCAAACGGACGGGCATACCTTAGACCAAGGTGACCCAACTTTCTGTTGAGCTCCTTAAAATGCCTCGTCCAATCCGGGAGGCATTCAGCCACTATGGGCGGGTATCTAGCATTGTTCTGGTCGGCAGGCTTGTCAGCAGGCGCTGCCGCCGGTTATGGTCGTGGCACTGCTGGTGCTGCTACCATATGGGCATAACTAGCCGTTGACCATCGTCCTACGGAAGCCCGGACGGGTTGGTTGTCGTCACCGGCGATGCTCGGCCGGCGGACGCTGCAAGGGTCGCATAAGTGGTGGACCCCCAGCTATAAGATTCTTCACCCCCCTGCTCATACTGGGCCGAGTCATGGCTGCCCCGGTCCGGTGATATGGAGCGCGGGGGTTGTGGTGGTGAGGGTGATTTCGGCGGTGATTTATGTACCGTCTTCTTCGTTACCTGGTGGTAGTCTTCATCTTCCGATGGGGATGTTGGTACATCGGAAGATAGATGGGAGCCGATTCGTTGCCTCTTTTCGAACAAAGAGGCCTCGGTCTCAGGTAGAGTATGGCGTCTGGCCGTTTTCTTTACCCGCTGCTGCTGCGACGGTTCCTGCCTGACCGTGTGCTCAGACACGGCCGGCGTTAGCGCGACGCCCGGTGCGGGCTCCTTCCGCGGCGAGACGGGTTTTCTCATTGGGATCTGCGAAAAACGACACTCTCCGACACGACACTACCCAGTCGTTCCAAAAGCAGATCTACAGAAGATGATGATGCGAGACGCGGATGGTGGTGATGTTAAAGGATGGCTTTCCACACTTGGGGCACTGCCTACCCCTTTTACAACAAAAGGGTTGGGGTAAGTGCTGTTGTGGCACTTTAAGTACGCGACTAGGCACAATAGACACGAGCGTCTTAAAGTGCCAAGAATCTACCTAGGGGCCGGTGACCTCGACGCCTCACGGAATCAGCGGACCCAACGATCGGCGGAGTATGTCGTACCGGCGGCTGTATGTGCTCACTGCTAAACAACTCACACCTAGGAGATCCTCGAGATGGAAGGCGGTACGTTGCTTCCTCCAGAATACATGGAGCTGCCCGATATTGAGAGCCTGGAAAGAAGTTCTTCTTTTTTATGTTGGTATCTTGATTTTTCTTTTCTTTATTATTACAAGCAAACCATGGCAGATGTCTTTTTTTTCTTAATTGTTGTTTTTTCGTGTTATTTATCAATATAAATTTGGTATATAGATCGGAACACAAGTTGCTACCGGGAACAGACTGTCACTTCAAAGATGGTTTTGCCTACGTTACGGGTAGAGTCCATCACTAGAGTACTATTTATGTATAGGTAGGGTATAGAATTTTTATCGATATAATTTGGTATACTGTCTCATCCCTGTTATTAGTTCCGTGAACGTGCACTTCTGCTTTCAGCGACAAAATGGCGGAAATCAAATCGCTTCATTAAATCACGGTGTATAGCCAGTCCACTGTACTTGTATGTATAGAGGTCATTGATACTACTCCATTCATATTGTTATTTTTATTAAGTATTTTGTCGATTTCTAAATAACAATAAAACACTGTTTGTTACTTAGAAATTGGCATAAATACTCTCGATAAATTGCAGGACTTAGGCAAAAAGAAAGATTTTCAGTATTGTTAACGTATTTATTTCGCAATTTCAACAAGATAATATATTGAAAATAAATTAACACCAAAACGTGAGATATTATAAATTTCCATGTTGTCTGCACATAATGTAGAAATTAACTTACTACAAACCATAAAAAAAATTATAAGTGAAATTAACATTATAAGTATTTCTATTTAATATTTGTCACTGCATCAATTACAAGATCTACCAAAACACATTACTGAGCCACGTGGCTACCATGAATTCCAATTTCAATTGCATTAGTTGTAACTCCAGGAGCCAAACGAAAATCAAATTATGTTAAGTAAGTATTCATAAATACCGCATAATTGCGACTTAGATTTTTTGTTTGTAATTAAATAAAAATTAAATTTCGTTTTTTTTATTACAGAGAAATCACTAACTGCTATTGATTGAACCGTCGACTGAATCTCTAGAACCACCAATTCATAGTCAAAGAGTAGTTGACATAATGCATTTTATCCAGCAGCTGTGAATTGTATCCAGTCATAGTTCTTTTTAGAATTGTCATTAAAAGTAAGTAGTAAAAGTCTCACTGGGTTTCTTGCTGGGTTTTTCTAGGACAGAGGTTTTTTCCGAACCAGTGGTAAAGTAAAAATGACTTTCAATAACAATTACATGTGATCCATATTGAATAAAAAATCATTCTATTCGATTTTAGGACTGACAACATAATAAAAGTTTTTCATAACGATGTGTACAAGGTCTGCCTTTGGTATTACTACACTCTTTTGTAACACACTGTATATTAATATTTTTCTCCATAATCAACCATCAAGCTTGGTGGATATTTTTATTTTATTTTTATTATTTTGATCTTGATTCTGAAGAAGTATATTATATCTATAGTAAAAAATTATATGTTTTTATAAATTCAAAGTTTTTTGACAGTTACCCTTTTCGAGAATAGACCATTTTTAGAATTGACCATTCTGCACCAGCCATTTTATTTATTATTCGTCTAAAGAATCTGTTATCATTTTGTGTCTGTTTCTCGATAATTTTTGTAGAAAATTGAATATATTTTGAAATATTTACGTATTTAAAAATAACAATACGAAAATATTGTTTGTAAAGTTGGTACATATATTTTCAAAATTTTGCGTGTGAGCAACCCGATTGCATCCCGCCGGCACTAGTGAATTTTTCAATTGCTAATTTAAGTATGCTTGGTCATTTTTATACGTGGTAGAGCCATGCTGCTGTTATATTAATAGTATAGTTGTAGCAAGAATGGGTCGGCTCGACCGGGTAAGGACCATGCTCTCACAGAATACCAGCGTAAAATAGTAGCTTAATGCTGTTGTGTTTAGTATGGTGAGTGTAGGGAAACCAGCGAACCTTTTTACTGGAATCGAGGCATTTCGTGGGTGACAACGCATCTGCATTTTTATTCGTAATCGAGGATAGATTTAGATGTCTATAGGCCACAGCAACCACTTACCATCAGGTGAACTACTACTACTATGTGCTCGTTTGTCACCCTATACTATAAAAAAATGAAGGAAAATTGTAAAAAACCTGCATGTCTGAGGAATAAAAATATTTTAATGACAAGCACTTCCCATAGTTTGCCTACATGTACAGGAGCAGAGTGTACTCATATATAGGTCAAAAATATACCAATGACAAAAAAATATTTTTAACCCTGGAGTGGTCGCGTGGACTACATATGTAATCCACCTATACAAAATCGATAATTTCTAACAATCGATTTGCGTTAACTTGTGGCGCCTCCAGGTACTTTCAAATGAATGATTGAGCGACGCACTCAGTGCAGCGCAAGCACAGGACTCGCGCGGTTGTGTCACAGGAGCTCAGTAAAGTGCGTGGACTACAATTGTAATCCGCGCGACCAATTACGTGAGTATTTTTTTTACATTGAATTATTATGTTTTCATTTATTTTAGATAAATAATACTTTATTTTGATCTGTTTTGTTACATTATTGTAATATAATGTTTGTTTTAGACAAAAAAATGGACAATGCACGTGATGCACTAATTGAGTCGTGGCTGGCTGAAGTTGATGTCGGAAATCATGTTTATGAAGCTGAATCGAGCTCCGACGAAGAAGTTGATAATTTAGAAGAGGAAGATCATCATCAATCGGAATCTAAGCAAGAGCAAGACATACCAGGTGATGGATCTGACGAAAGTTCTGAAGAAGATAATCCACCTCAGAAATGCCGCCGACGCACGGACTTTTACAAGGGAGTAGATGATACATTATGGTCGAAAACAGTTCCCCTAAATAGAGGTAGAATACGAAGTCATAATATAGTGTTTGTACCCCCAGTGCCGAAAGGAACAGCTCGCCAAAAAACAACCCTAGAAGACTGCATGTCACTGTTTTTTGATGATCATATCATCCACCTCATTACAAAATATACTAATAATAAAATTGATTATATCAAGGAGAAATATAGAAGATAACGAGATGCTACACAGACCAATGAAACTGAAATTAGAGGTTATATAGGAATATTAATAATGGCTGGAGTAGTTGGAAAAAGGAATAGTATTGCTATTATATTTGAACATGTAAAACACACAGGGATCGACGCCATATATTTGACAATGTCGGAAAAAAGGTTTAAATTTATAACAAGGGTATTACGCTTTGATGATATTGAAGACCGCCAAGACCGTGCCAGAATTGATAAGTTAGCCCCGGTAAGAGAGATTTTTGAATTGTTCCTTGCAAATTTTCAAAAATATTTTATTCCTAGTGCCGAAATGACTTTGGATGAACAGCTGGTAGCTTTTCGAGGCCGCTGTCCTTTCAGGCAATATATTCCAAATAAACCGGCAAAATACGGGGTGAAAATTTTTACGCTAGTTGATGTCCACTATCCTTACACATATAATTTAGAAATATATGCTGGCCAACAACCAGATGGTCCTTTTCGCCTGAGCAATGAAAGACAAGATATTGTTATGAGAATGGCACAGCCTGTCCTTGGCAAAAATATGAATATCACCATGAATAACTGGTTTTCTTCACTTCGAACTGCAAAACAACTTTTCCAAAACGGTACAACAATGGTCGGGGCGGTACGGAAAGATAAACGAGAAGTCCGTCGGGAATTTCGTGTCGCAAGAGGAAACCCACTATATTCTTCCAAATTTGGGTTTCACCCACCATGTACACTGTTGTCTTATGTGGCAAAACCCAATAAAGTAATTATTTTGATTTCGACGATGCACAACGATGCTACATTTGATGAAGACTCTGGAGATAGTCGTAAGCCAGAAGTTATAACTTACTACAATAGGACTAAGAATGGAGTCGACCTGGTGGATAACATGTGTTCCATGTATGATGTAGCAAGAAACTCAAGAAGATGGCCTCTTACAATTTTCTTGCGCTTGCTGAATTTGAGTGCACTCAATGCATTGTGCATTTACACGGCAAACAGAAATTACGAACATGTCAGCTGACGTGAGTCTCTTATTGACTTGTCTCTGGCATGGATGAAACCACTAGCGCAGAAGATACTAGAAAAAAAAACATTGCCAAGAACACTCACAATGAAAATCAAAGATTTTCTTGGTATTACGTACGCAGAAACTCAACCCACTACCTCGCAAGGTATATCGAGCAATGTTGTGCGCCGTTGCCATGACTGTGGAAGAGCGCGCAACAAAAGTACTAGAAAGATGTGCACCAAGTGCAGTAAGTTTGTATGTGGAGATCATTTAAAGATTATGTGTCTTTCCTGTGCAGAAAACAACATTTAGATATAAGTTTCAACTATTTTTATAAATTGTGATGTTAATTAGAACAATCCATGTGATTTTTGTGCCATTTTAGAGAAGATTTTTTATTTTGTTGATTATTTGTAACACAGAGGTTGTGATTTAATTGTGATAATTATGTTTAAAAAGAGAAAACTGTACTGATTTTATTTTTATTTAATTTAATAAAAAGTTTATGAATAAATCCTTTGTTTTTTTCAATTTGTATATGGATTACGTATGTAGTCCACGCGACCACTCATGAAACTTTTCGGGACGCGACCACTGCAGGGTTAACAACAGAATATTATATTTGTATTCAAAGTTGAAATAATAATATCGCTGATTGAATTTCTTTTTTATTTTGAACATGGAGAATTCGATTCTAATTTATTTTAATCCGGTTATCTGAGTAATCGATTCCAAAACTTATTGAAAGATGAACTGTTCAAAAGAGGAAGGCAGCAAAATTTATAAAGAGTTAAGTCGACAGAGCAGAATTCAAAGCGAGTGTAAAATTGCCGGACCGTTGATTGAAATAAAAGATTGAAAATTTTAACGAGCTATAGACTTTTAATGGAAGAAGTTTTCTTATTATGTCCCAAAAATATCAAGAAATGATTAATTGGGACATAGATATATAATTAGAAAACTTTTGTTGTTTTTTTTTAAATTTCAACATGATAATTGTAACGATTACCAGCACTGTTATTAAATAATAATAATAGAACTGCTAAAGGATTGCACCGTCGACATCTTTGAGTCACTTAGGCGTGTCATTTCAGGTTGTTCGCGGCGCCTTTTGACAATATGTATTTGCATAAACACAATCTAGTAGCCAGTATTCTACACCAGGAGCTCGCTCTAAGATCTGTATCATGTATCGGAAACTGCCTTATTATAAGTACCTGTTTGCTTACTGAAACAGAGCCATCATCACAGACTGGACTGTTTTTGCGTAGAAACTTAAAATTATGCTGATGCACCGGGCGTAGCCAAGGATAGTTTTTGACTGACATAACTATTATGTATAACGAGAACTTTGTGAAAGCCGAAACAAAAAAGAAAAGAAAATACCTGAATTGTCGACTAAAATTATTCCTGTAGACTGTTCTGCGAAAAAGCTAATATCAGTCAGCATGTCGGCTAATCTGAGGCGACTAAAACTCTGTGGACCGTTCCGGGCTCAAATTCAGAAGGCGGTTGTCTTTTGTCGTTTGGTCTGGCAAATAAAAGTTTTTTGAAAGAAAAACTCAACAACTGACTTTTGTTGGCCCAACCAGACATTCAAGCCTGGGACCTCATGAACAGTATTCGCGTTCAGAATCCAACGAGGCAGCAAATAAGCATGAACAGAGGCTTCCCCATAGGTCACCTTATAGTTGGAGATAATTTACATAGTTGCCACGTTTGCTGGCTTCGGATTATTTAATCTACTATACTATATATATCATGTCCGGAGTGTGGTGCCGATGTAAGAACGTTCAATACCCGTATATTGTGACAAATGAAACCTAAATAGGAAACGGCAGCAGCGTCTTCCTTATAATTACTAGAAAATAAAAAATGCTGTTGTCTACCCTATAAAATGTTGCACCTATGTAAAATATATAATCATGAATCAATTTATGGGGAGGCCTATGTTCAGCAGTAGACTTTATGGGCTATGGCAATCGCGCACGTGGTCTACATGATGGTAAGTAGATGATGTGGCGTATAGACATCTACATATTATATGCTGTGTCAACTTTATATATGGTTAAGTACTCCATACCATTAGTAGAGAGTAAGAGAATTCAGTACCTAAATTTATCTCACGGATGTCGTAAGAGGCGACAGAGGGAAACTAAAACGGGAGATATGTTGCAGCATCTTCTTGAAAACGACTGAAAATAATAAAAAAATGCAGTTGCGAGTCGGCCTGGCGTAACATAATTGCCTCAATGAGGTAATCGATGGATGAGGTTCAAGTTTTGCTATGGGCTTTTGATAGTGTGCGATGATGATAACGATGATGATGATAAACTGTCAAATCAACTTACTTGAAAAGTAATATAGCTAATAAGAATGTGAATGTTCATGTCTACATAATCGATGTAGTTCAGCAATTTTGCAGTTAGTAAGAATAATAACAAAAATTACCTATTCGTAAACATTAGAAACAGAAAAAAAAATTCTAAGTCGGTCTCGTGACTTTAAAAAAAATCGTTTATGCCGTTCCAAAGACCGTTAAGTTATTTTTTCTTTTTAAGTTTAATTGAAGTTTGTAGGTCAACATTACTTTGCTTTCTTATATCAAAAAATCGGCCAAGAGCGTGTCGGGCCACAATAAGTGTTCCCACTTATGAGTTTAAAGGTGGGTATCCATTAAGTTCGCGCTCAGCAGCGCTCCCGCTCCTGCAGCTGCTCCCGGTAGTGGGTACTGTTGTTTCCATTCAAGTTCAAAACAATTTTCCTAGGAAGTCCTTATAAAGTTCTACTTTTCAGATTTTTTTCATATTTTCTAAACTTATGGTCAAAAGTTAGAGGGGGGGGGACACATTGTTTTTTACTTTTAGAGCGATTATTTCCGAAATTATTGACATTATCAAAAATGATTTTAGTAAACCCCTATTCATTTTAAATACCTTTCCAACAATATATCACACGTTAGGGTTGAAATTAAAAAAAAATCACTTCCCACTTTACATATTTTTATTTTATTTTACCACTTTGTCGGCGTGATTGATACACATATTGGTACCAAATTTCAGCTTTCTAGTGCTAACGGTTACAGAGATTAAGCTAGGATGGACAGACGGACAGGCAGAAATGGCGAAACTATAAGGGTTCCTAGTTGACTACGGAACCATAAAAACGATCGCGTTTTTTCCTACATGCTTACATCTGTCGTGTTCAAAACACAGCGCTACTTACAGCATTTACTACGGCTTATGATTTTCGAAATCGGTTTACTTACACCAGTTTTATGGATCGTTTATTCTTAGTTTTATTACATATAACTTTTCGTTTTAATTTAAAAACCAACACGTCCTAATACATTAAAAATTTCTTATTTTTTTATTATTTGTAAATTTTTTGGAAGCGGAGGCAAATGCGCATACGGTTCACCTGCTTGTAAGTGACTCCCATATACAACTGCTATATCAGGAGAATTGAAACTGAAATTCTTAAAGGTCCCTAAGTTATCGACTTATCTATACATATTTTAATGATGGCATATAATAAAATATCTGTACGTATAGTCTATTAGTAAGTCCGTTTTTAGTTTAAAATTGGAGGCAATTTACTTTTTATTTTTTTATGTTATTTTTTCCTTTCGTTTGATTAGATCCACTCTTCAAATATATTTATACATATATAGTTAGCTTAAAGTTACTTTTTGATTACAATTTTTGATGATAACGTAAGCTGTTGCTAATTCAGTCGCAGACTGAATATTATCTTCCAAAATCGCATTTAGTTCGTCATTGTTGACCAAATGTTATCGTTCAACCACGGGGTTAATTTTTCAGGTCGAAATTTTTGGAACAAAAGTGGCCAAACCAATAGGTGGTACATTCGGAGTAGTATTCGCTCCGTAAACGTCGTTGGGGTTGCGTGCCGATTGTGCCGCGGTGCTGCCACGACGGTATTCATGTTCAATAATCACTCGAATTGAATAAAACTATTATTTACTGATTTTATCGCGTTTA